AAAAAAAAAAAAAAATAGAGTGAGTGAATATTTGGATTTCATCTTAAGCTTGTGAATCAATATAAATCAAAATGTAAAATGTGATATAAAAATAGCAAAATAATGATTGTAAATGTTTGATAGTTAAGTGAATAAATAATTTTGTCGAAAATTATGTGAAATCAATATAAATCAAAATGTAAAATGTGATATAAAAATAGCAAAATAATGATTGTAAATGTTTGATAATATCGAGGAGATTTAAGTTGAATTGAATTTTGAGTTAAAAAATTATATTCAATTGTATTTCCGTCCAAAAAATCATCCGACAAAGATCCAAAAAATCTCTTTCTTTTGTTTTGTTTTTGTTTTGAGTTTTGTTTTGTTTTGTTTTGTTTTGTTTTGTTTTGTTTTGAGCCCTTTTTTGTGTTTCTTACCACTGTTTTTCTTGGGTTTCATCTCCAGCCTACCCAACTTGTTTGGAACTAAAAAGCTTTGTTGTTGTTGTAGTTGTTGTTGTAAAGATCCAAAAAGTACTATAACTTTTTTATTATTTTGCCATTTTTGTTGCAGTTGGGGGGCTCCTAAATGCAACATGTGGAAATGCAACAGAGCTGATAATAGCTATACTTGCACTCATGCAGCAAAAGGTTGATGTTGTGAAGTATTCTCTATTGGGCTCCATACTTTCAAACCTTTTGTTGGTCCTTGGATCCTCCCTCTTGTGTGGCGGCATTGCAAATATGTCGAAAGAGCAAAAATTCGACCGAGTAAGTAAGAATAAAATGTTAATTACAATGGAACTGAACGAGGTTCAAGCTCGTGTTTGATTATTTTTTAACATTGTTCGTATTCTTTCAATATTTATTATTCGAGAAAAAAATTTATGTTAAATTAATCTTCACGAACAAAATCGAAGATTCGCAAGCGAGCTCGTATTTTTTCAGCTATTAAACGAGCCTAAATTATTTCAAAATTAGTTACTTTTAACAAAAACGAACAAGCTCATGTCGAACATCAACGATCTTTTGTTCACTTACGTTTAGTTCGTTAGTCCTAGAGATATTCAATTTGAATTTTCAAAAAAAAAAAAAAAAGTAAATTTGTTATTTACTAATTGATTATGTGTAATGTGGGCTCGAATTCGACTAGAAACAAGCCGACATCAACTCGCTACTCTTGCTGTTGGGACTAATGTGCCATGTGTTACCTCTGATGTACAAATTATCCGGGAAGTCTTTGGAAATAACCGAGGCTACGACACTTAACCTGTCCAGAGCTAGTTGCATTATCATGCTTGTTGCTTACATGGCGTATCTCGTTTTCCAGTTGTGGACTCACCGGCAATTTTTCGAAGCACAAGAGGTGGTTATATATATATATGTTGTATTAATTAAATCAACTATCATGTTTCTAATAGCGCACGGTTTATATTTAGGTTTTTTTTTTTTTTTTTGGCGGGAAAATGCATGTGCGCTGGCCACATTTGAATAATAGCATTATTCCATTTAACGAACGATTTGTCTGTAAAATCGATAAAATAAATTTCAGGGCGCAGAAGATGATGATGTTTTGTCCGATGAATTAGCAGTGATTGGCTTTTGGAGTGCGTTTATTTGGTTGGCATTGATGACGGTCGTTGTAGCACTTTTATCCGAATACGTCGTGGCCACAATTGAAGTAAGTTGCGCCATAATTTTTTTTTTTTTTAAACTATTACGAAATCCAACTTCTATATGTATTATGAAGAAAAAACAAAATTTTGATTTCGTAATTAGGCTGCATCGGATTCGTGGGGTCTCTCAGTTAGCTTCATTAGCGTAATTTTGCTACCAATAGTCGGCAATGCAGCGGAACATGTCGGGGCCATCATTTTCGCATTGAAGAACAAATTGGTAAGTCCTCAAAGGCTTGCTTGCTTGGATATAAGTTTTTTTTTTTTTTATTGGATTTTCATGCCTACTTTTCAAGAAAATGTTGGTTGAGTTAGGTTTGAGTGAAATTTTTAGTTTGTATTAAATTAGTATTTAAAATAAAATGATTAAAGTTGATTTGATTTAAAAGTAATAGAGAGATGATTGGAAGTGAGGGTGGTTAAAATTATGTAACTAGATAAATAGTGAATTAAAGTTGATATGATGTGCAAGAATAATTATGCACTAAAACTTTTTAGTTCCCTTAGTTAAAGATGATTATTGTTGACTTTCTTTGAAATATTGACATTATATGAGTTTATATATATGATGCAGGACATAACTCTAGGTGTAGCGCTAGGCTCGGCCACTCAAATCGCCATGTTTGTGGTAAGTTCTATTCCAAACTCTAACGATCAAATTAGCAAACAAATTAACGTGCAAAATGATACAATTTGGTTTCGAATTCTCAAACATTATTCAGGTTCCACTAAGCATGTTAGTTTCATGGATCATCGGCATCAATATGGATCTCGCTTTCAATCTCCTCGAGACAAGCGCTCTTGCCTTGTCGATACTCGTCACAGCTTTCACCTTACAGGTCGATCGATTTTTTTTAATTCACGTGTGAATATTTCTTTCCGAAATTAGTAACTATCAAAATTGTTGAGGTTCTTTCTTTTTAATTAACTACAGGATGGAAATTCTCATTACATGAAGGGACTCGTGCTTCTTATATGCTACCTTGTTGTTGGGGCCTCCTTTTTTTGTGTTTAGGGCACCACATAGTAAGAATATGTGATCCATTTGGGCGTTTGTATGTAAATGTAATGAAGAAAACTGAGCAAATATGTAATGTATTTTAAAATTATTAAATAAAATGTGTTCTATAGTAGGTTTGCTGAACTTATTTGTCTAGGCTTTTAAAGAGCCCATGTTTAGGCCCGCTAATGGAAGCAGGCCAGACTGGCCAGTTACTCCACTTAAACTAAGAGCCCATCAATCATTGTATGGAAAGACTACTCAAATAAGTTTACTATATAAGCTCAAGTTTTTTAAAACGATCGTCGTAACAAATCAACATTATTTGTATACACAAAACTTATAAGTCAACTAAATAAGTTATATATTAACTTCTGATGTTTATACACACACTCTAAGCATATTAAATAAGCATTCAATAATTTATTAGTTCCATCAAATAAGCATTTAATAGTTTATTAATTCATATCAATTGCGGGTAATAATAATATTAGCAATGAAATTGAAAACTAATAAGTACAATTTGGAGCACATTTTATAAGTGCGCAAACTAGAATCATGAAGCATTGAAGCTCAAAAGCAATAATGGAAGATGAAAATTTGAAGGAAATAATTTTTTCCAAAGCACCCAATCCATAAATTGTGTGTATCAAAGGGCTATTTAGGTTATGTTTACCATTTAAGAAATAAGCTTCTTAGTTGATAAAAATAAAATTACTTTTATTAGATTAAATCATCTCCAATGCTCAAATGTTGTTGTGGAAATTACATTCCACATCAACATATTTAGCAATTTCATAACTTTTCATCTTCCAATGCATAATGTGATCACAAATATTGTGATGACGTAGACATAATTAATGTCTATAATATAGAGAATAATGTGGTTCATCCATATTTTCATCCACACTCTAGCTAGCAAATGAAAACAATAGAGATAGTTATTCTTACCAATTCAAAACTATTTAATTATTTAATTAATATTCTTACTACATTTTAGAAAATATTAATATTTGGTAAGTTAATAATATTATAGTTAGACTTTTGCGTTCGGAATAATTTTTTAATTTCATAGTATAACCTTATCATTTTTGCTACAGGGTTCACAACTTCACAATCCATTTAATTTATTGACGTTTGTCAAACTTTATTCTATAACAACATTACAGTATTGAAGATGCTCTTCGAAGTATTGAAGATGCTCTTCGAAGCATATTCATACCATACTCAGGCTGCCTTATCCTAATCGTGAATTACGTCCTTTTAAGTGGGTTATCTACCTTGTAATTAATAATAATAATAATAATAATAATAATAATAATAATAATAATAATAATAACACAAATATATATATATATATATTAAAATTTTAAATATAATACAAGAAAACAAATCTATATATATATTAAAAGTCAATCTATTTACCAAAAACAGTAGCAAGAAAAGTCAACACACATTTAATGCATACTTTATTTGGAAATTTTTTACTATATGCATTAAATGCTTACATATTTACATTTACTATCCAAATATGATCTTCAAGATTTTTTCCTTAAATAATTTATGCAATGATTTTACTGATATCCATTATAATTAATATTTGTCGAGTAATATTTTTTAAACTTTATTTAATTATATAACATTAATATTTTTTTAAAAAAATAATATTATTTATTATTTAAAAGATAATAATCACATCATTAAATGATTTTATTGATGGTTAGATAATAAAATTATATTAGTTATTCTTTAAAATTTCAACATGTTATTTATTTGTATATTATTGTCAACTATGATAGTGTTTTTATCACTTTTTTTTTGTTATGTTTAAAAAATGCATAGTATGTTAAATAAACTATAAAGCCTTATGATGAAAATTAGAAAAAATCTCTTGATTATGTAAGGGATTTATTTTTTGGCAATTGCTAAATCATTTTTTTAAAAGAATTATTATGAGAAAATTGAATTCTAAAAAATATGTGTGTGTATTTTGTAAACATTTATACTCAAAATTTTATTTTGAATTTCATTACATAAAGAAGACTACTTCTATAACTTTTATAAATAATAATAATTACATTATAAGACTGTAAATTTTATAATAAAATAATAATTGAGTATTATATGGTGAACAATAATTAATAAAATTTTTATTTTTTCCTATATTAATGAATAAATATGTATTCTAAAATCAAATAAATATTATTATGACGTGTTAGCGGAATTATATATTAATTAACATGTTAATTTTTGGCTTAAATAAACGCCACTTATTAAAAGATGTGAAATATGGATGATCCAAGCCTATTATTTTTTTGTCTAGACGTACAAGTCCTATAGAAATAATTGATTTATTATATGTATCACGTGCATCGTACGGGGTATGCATTAATAAATGACCTTAAAATTGTGCACCTGTGCATTACCCGTGTTCACATTTTGGCCTATTACAGGTCACGTACTATATATATTCCGTACATTTAAATTCGTTTATATAATTATAAGAATGGATAAATGACCTTAAAATTGTGCATCCCGTGCATCGCACAGGCTCTGTACTAGTGTATGGTAATTAGTAAATGAAATAAATGATATTAGTTTCACATGGTATGATTTGATTTAGGAAATAAAAAAGTCAAAGAAATATACATACTTTTCAAACTTGCAAATAAAAGGTGTATATCAAATATCAAACTTGATTCCGAAGAAATAATGTATATACAAATCAAATTACGAAGACAACAATTTTGTCATTTAAACATGCGAAACGTGCGAGTCTGTCATGTAGGTTCAATACCTTTGTTTTTATAGTCGGTTAGACGAGCTTCTCGGATCTCTTCCTCTAGTTAAAGGTGGCTTTGACCGGAAAGTTTGCAGTTGTGGTGGTGAGGACAACCGACAAGTTGCACGACTCACCTTTTTGTGGTGACGACTAACGAGTTTCCAATATTTACTAAGTACACGAGTCATTTTGAAGTTTTTAGATTTGAGATTGACTGCATTTCGATTCATTTTAAAATGACTGACTTTAGAGTAAGATCTTATATTTTAGTTTTTGTTTATTTTGTACAATATGCCTATTTTTGTTAGGCTTAATTGTAAAAAAAAAATCATGACCTTTTCGTAATTTGCAATTTTATACACCACCTTTAAAATTGGCAAATTAATACATCACTTTAACAATTTTTTGCAATTGTATCCATACGGGCTAAAAATCGGGCTTTTCCTTGTTGACATGGCTTGAACATTTTCTTGCCGCCGAGTTGGTCCGATTTCTCGAAGGCCACAACTCGGTGGCCTTCGCTATTGAGAGCGACGACGGCAGATAGACCGGAGACTCCGGCGCCAATCACCGCCACATTGAACGGTTGTGACGCCGTGGGGAGATCGTTGGAGTTGAGTGGGGAGGATGATGTGTCAATTGTCATGGTTATTGAATGACTTAATTGACACTTCAGTCACAAATCAGATCAAATCGGTGAGCCCATGGTCCGCAGCATACTGATTCAGAAACTCGAGCACTTCCACATAACTCGGGAAGGTTCTCGGGTCGCGGTTCTTCCTGGTCACAAACGGGTAACCCATCATCTTCCTGGGGATGTTGGTCCGTCGAGAACGGTACAAGCTGCCATGAAATGTTCAAGGAAAGCCCGATGCATACAAACAATAAAATGTTCAAGCCATGTCAACAAGGAAAAGCCCAATTTTTGACCCGTATGGATAAAATTGCAAAAAATTGGTAAAGTGATGTATTAATTTGCCAATTTAAAAGGTGGTGTATAAAATTGCAAATTACGAAAAGATCATGATTTTTTTTTCAATTAAACATTTTTGTTATAGGTTACCACTTTTCAACCCAACTTGTAATTATTGCCCAAATTGTATTGATTTTGGTTGATACAAGACTTTGTAACTTGTTTTTTTTTTTTTTT